AGACCAATCTCAAGTTATTGTTTTTTTTTTAATTTATCCATTCAGCTTCTGATTTCTTTGGATCACTATTGTCATGAGTCAGAAGGTGCCTCAGAAGCCATAGGAGCATCAATTTAGAGCCAGAAGTGACTTTTGACATCATCAAATCTAGGAACCCTTTGCCAGTCAGTCTGATGACTGTCTGCCTTATGGATGGACCCCTTCTCAGAATCATGTTGTTAAATGTATCAAATAAAACATATAGAATTACAAAGAAAACCAATTATATTGAAATACAGTTCTTAAAATATTAAAACAAAACAAGGTCATGAACTCTAGCACAAGAGAGAGAATGCAGCCTGGAGTCAGGAAGACGAGTTCAAATCTGACCTCAGATATGTACTAGTTGTGTGACCCCGGGCTAGTCATTTAACCTCTGCCTGACTTAGTTTCTTCAAATAGAAGGTGGGGTAATACATCACAACTATCAGATTGGCCAACATGACAAAACAGGAAAATGATAAATGTTGGAGAAGATATGGGAAAATTGAAACACTAATGCATTGTTGGTGGAGTTGTGAAATGATCCAACTATTTTGGAGAGCAATTTGGAACTATGCCCAAAGGGCTATAAAAATGTGCATACCCTTTGACCCAGCAATAGCACTGCTAGGGCTGTATCCCAAAGAGATCATACAAATGGGAAAAGGACTCACATGTACAAAAATATTTATAGCAGCTCTTTCTGTGGCGGCAAAGAATTGGAAACTGAGAGGATGCCCTTCAATTGGGGAATGGCTCAACAAGTTGTGATATATGAATGTAATGGAATACTATTGTGCTATAAGAAATGATGAGCAGGCAGACTTCAGAAAAACCTGGAAAGCCTTGTATGGTCTGATGCTGAGTGAAGTGAGCAGAACCAGGAGAACGTTGTACACAGTAACAGCCACATTGTGCAATGACTAATATTGATAGACTTAACCCTTCTCAGCAATGCAAGGATCTAAGACATCTCCAAAGGTCTCATGATGGAAAATGTTATCCACATCCAAAGAAAGAACTATGGAGTTTGAATGCAGATCGAAGCATACTATTTGCTATTTTTTTTTCATTTGTTTTGTTTTGTTTCCTCTTTCTGGTGGTTCCTCCTATTGGTTCTAATTCTTCCTCACAATATCACTAATGTGAAAATGCTTAATAGGAATGTATATGTATAGCCTATATCAGATTTCGTTCCATCTTGAGGAGGCAGGTGGGGAGGTAGGGGGAGAAAAATTTAAAACTCAAAAGCTTATGGAAGTGATTGTTGATAAATCAAAATAAATTAATAAAGTTAAAAAAAAAGAAAATAGGGTAATAATAGCACCTACTTCCCAGGGTTGTGAGAATCAAATCAGATAAAATTTGCAATAATAAAAGAAAGGATGAAAGAAAGGAAGAAAGAGAAAGAATGAGAAAGAAAGATGCTTAGTGCAGTGTCTGGCACATAGTAGGTGCTATATAAATGTTTTATTTCCTTCCTCATTTCCACCCATCCTCCTGGGAGGTAAATGCTATTATTATCCCTATTTTATAGATAAGGATAATAGATAGCAGCAGAGAAAGGTTAAATGACTTGCCCAAGGTCACACAGTGTCTAAGGCCTGACTTGAACCCAGGTCTTCCAAACTAACACTCTATCAACTACACCTTCTTCCCTCTCAGTGGCAGGCAACTTTTATCTGTCTGTCTGTCTGTGTTAAATACAGCCTGGTAAAATCACAGCCCGTCCAGAAACAGAGTAGGCTTGATCTAAGACAGGAGGCTCCTCTCTCCTCCAACAAGCCTGTTTAAGGAATTATTGTTCACTCTTCATGACACACACAGCAGAGAGCCTGTGATAATACCACCACCTGGGCGCCCTGGGATTCATCTAATGCCTTTATGTAAATAGGAGCAGCTTGTTTATGTAAAGGACTTAATTTAAGTACAGCATCTAGGGCAGGGCCCAGGATGGGAGGGGCTAGAAGTAGGCCGACCCAGGCAGCCGTAGGGGAGTGGACCCAAAAGAGGTCCCGAGGAGGTATAGAGAAAACCAGGAGCAAAGGGAGGCTAAGACGAGTTAAATGACTGTTCCCGGGTTACATAGTTAACAAGTAACTGATACAGGATCTGAATTCAGGTTTTCCTAACCCTGAGTCCAAAGCTTTATCAATACGCCACGCTGCCTGTGTAGGCAGATAAGACGCCCAAACAGGTTAAATCGCCAGCCACGTAGCCTCGCCTCTGAGGCTCTTGTGATGGGGCTACACACACACACATACACACACAAACACACCCAAGAATTTCACCTCAGTTCCCGTAAAGCTCCAGAGTCAGAAACACTGAATCAAAATGACAAGAGATAATGTTTCTATCGCCCAAGTGAGCCCAGTGTTCTGGTAGAACAGAAAATGCCTCGGGCTCTGGGAGTTGGTAATGTTTTCCATTAGCACCAGAAAACAGCTTCCCTTTCAACCCCAACCAACTTATCCAATTAACTCAGCACCACTCAGCCCTGGCCATCACCGGATGGTCTGTACACCCAGCCCTGGGCAGCCAAGAAGGGTATTGGGACCATCGGACAGGACCCGTGGCTGTCGGGGTTTTCCCTGACCTCTGCTGGGGCCAGCCAGGGAGGGACATGGATAATAAGGCTGCACCTTCTCAATTCTCCCTCCTTCCATGGGCAGGTCCCTGCCGTGGCTGAGAATGAGGTCCCATCATCCCTGATCGGGGAGGCTAGGGTCAGTCTGGGACTTACCCAAGAGTCAGGCTTCAGGGAGCTCCTGTGGTATCACACCCTTCAAGTCTCCATGCGGACATAACACTTAGCTCCACCCCTATGGGAAAACTCTTTCCCAAGTACACCTGTGTACTCTCCTCCGCACCCCTAAATTTGCCCTAAATACTCAAATTCCTAGTCACAGCCCTGACTACAGATTATTTCAGACCTAAAAGGAGGGATCAAGAGCTGGTAGGGAGGTGGCACAGTGGATAGAGCACCAGCCCTGAAGTCAGAAGGACTTGAGTTCAAATCGGGCCTCAGATCAAACACTTGACACTCACTAGCTGTGTGACCCTGGGCAAGTCATTTAACTCCAATTGCCTTAAAAAAAAAAAAAAGCTGGTAGGGATCTCAGATGAACCCTCAGAGGCCATCTAATCCAAGCTTCATGTTTTACCCTTGAAAAGACAGTGCCTCAGTGGAGGTTAGGGAATTTGCTTAAGGTTGGTCACATAAGCAGTAAATGGCAACTGGGCGGATAAAGCACAAAACCTGAAGTCTAGAGGACCCGAGTGCAAATCCCACTTCAGATACATCCTAGCTGTGTGACCCTGGGCAAGTCCCTTAACCTGTCTGCCTCAGTTTCCTCATCTATAAAATGCAGATAATAATAATCCCTACCTCCCAGGGTTGTTGTGAGAATTAAATTAAATAATTTTTATAAATTGTTCTGCAAACTCTAAAGAGTTGTAAGTGCTTGCTAGGTATGCCTGGGACACTCACCTTCTTCTACACCATCTACTGACCTGCCTGATTTCCTTCAAGTCCCAACTAAAATCCTTTCTTTTACTGGAAGCCTTTCCCCAGACCTGTCTGTTAATTATTTTCCTATTTATCCTGTGTAGAGCTTGCTTTGTAAATATTTGTTTGCATGTTGTCTCCTTATTTAGATTGTAAGCTTCTTGAGGGCAGGGACTGTCTTTTGCTTCTTTTTGTATCCCCAACACTTAGCACAGTGCCTGGCACATAGAAATAAATGTTTATTGATTAATTGATAGAAAAGTAGAAGTACCTGCTTCCTTATCTACCGTCCCTAAATCTCTGATTGAAAGTTGAGTGCTTAACCTGCCTCCCATTTTGGTCCCCGAGAGAACAAATTATCCATCTAAGAGAGAAGGATAGATTTTTCAGAGCAGCCACCAAGGAAATGCCAGGTATTTGTACTGGTCACAAAAAAATTTTCCCTTCTCAGCAGGGAAGTCACTTTACCTCCATTTGCCTCAGTTTTCTCATCTGTAAAATGGAGATAATAATAATAGTACCTCCTTCCCAGGGTGGTTGTGAAGATCAAATGAGATAATATTTGTAAAGTGTTTAGCACAGTGCCTGGCACATAGTAAGCATTTGATAAATGCTTGTTTTCTTCCTTCCTTCCTCTGCATTTACTCCTGGCCAAATGAATACCATAGGGCAGATCTGACTATGACTTCATCCTCCTTCTGCCACTACCCCAGGCCAGTCAGAGCTCACAAAGTACTGTGTTTTGGAACTACTGATCCACATACGGTCTTTGGTCATTTTTCAGTTGTGTCCAAGTCTTCGTGACCCCATTTGGGGTTTTCTTGGCAAAGGTACTGGAGTGGTTTGTGATTTCTTTCTCCAGCTTATTTTACAGATGAGGAAACTGAGGCAAATAGGGTTAAGTGACTTGCCCAGGATCACACAGCTAGTAAGTGTCTGAAGCTGGATTTGAACTCAGGAAAATAAATGAGTCTTCCTGACTCCAGGCCCAGCACTCTATGCACTATGGTGCCACCTAGCTGCCCAAGGTTACAAAGGGATTAAAGTGGTTATCTTGGGATTCAAACCCAAGTCTCCGACTCCAAATCCAGCCTTTTCCCACTAGACTCCTGTCCTTGACATTGGAAGCTCATGAAGTCCTTTAGGGAAAATAATGAGAATGTGCCCATGCTAACAGTTTGAAAGAGGGAACTGGTTAGAGTGGGGGAGGAACAGTGAGCCAGAGCAGCCAGGCAATGGTAGAAATGGTGGCCCCAGAGGGAGAGAGGAAATCGGGCAGGTGGGAAAAGCACAGCCAGACAGGTGAGTGACAGGACAATCCAGAAGGACAGCCAGGCGGGGAAGGGGTAGGGAGCAGTGTGGAAGGGCAGCAGGCGGGGAAGGGATAGGAGATGAACTTGGGGAGCCAACCAAGGAAAGGCACTCAGCAGGAAGCCAGTTCTGTGAAAGGCCAGCAGCCCGGGGTACTCACTCAAGCATTGCAGCCCATTCCGATTGAGCAGGGGTTTGCTACACAGGGAGCAGTTGATACAGCTGGAGAAAGTCCCTGGCACTAACTGGTGACCATTTATGCTTCTCCATTTTTCCCTCAGCTCTATCTCTTTCTGTTGTTCTTTGTTCTTACCCTGAGAAAGAAGGAAGGAAGGTCTTAGAACTGCTCAGAGAAGCATAGTTTTAGAGCTGAGTTACCTTTATTTTACAGATGAGGAAACTAGAGAAGCTGATGGTGCAGCAGACAGAACACTGGGTCTGGAGCCAGGAAGATCTGGGTTCAGATTTATGGAAGGGGCCCCTTAGTCATCCTGAATCATGTATATATCATATAATTTCATATCATATCATAGATTTCGAGTCAGAAGGAACTGGAGAGGCCATTATATCCCTTTCACTTTACAGATAAGGAAACTGAAGACCAGAGGGGTTGTGCCTTGCCCAAGGACACAGAGTCAGGATTTGAATCCAGGTCCCTGGACTCCAGATCCAGAGTTCTTTGTATCTGATCACACTGAGAACAGCCTTAGCAGGATACAGGGCCCTGAGGGGGAAAATACCCACAGGACAGAGGCCTTACTAGACCTTGGGGTGCTTTCTGGAGAGGGTGGGGATTAAGTTGGGGGACTACCTAAGGGGCATGGGTGTTTGAGGACATGGGCAGCTCCCATCAGAATCTGGAGAGCTCGTGCCCAGTTCTGGCCAGCATACTCCCAGCTGACACCCAATTCCAGCTGGGTGATGGAGCCAGGTTTCCCATCCTCACCTTATCCTTCTGCCAGGAGCCAGTCACTCGACTTCTCAGGGAGCTCAGCCTTCGCTTCACCTTGGTCCCCTTCTCACTCTTTTCACTCTTCCCATCATCTTCCTTCCTGAAGCGGGATCCCCAACAGAGCTCAGGTCAGGGGATCAGAAAAGCCCAGGGGGATCAGGCCAGGGAGATTTGGCTTGGTTCCACCTATCAGACCCCTGGCTGGGTCAGTTCCTCTACTTCCAGCTCCTTGGGCTGGGGCCCACGGGCTCTCCTCAAAGCCCATTAGAACAGCACATTCCTATTCCCTAAAGCTGGTGGGTGTCTCACCTCCCACTTCCCCTGTCCTTGGTTAGAACTTCTTGTGATACCAGGCTCATCCCCAAGAACATTCTCCCACAGACCCCCCATGCTGCAAAGCCAGCTGTGAACTATAGCCATTAGCACTGGCCTCCTCCTGGGAGTCCTTCCCAAGCCAGGCACTCAGTTGGGGCCAGATCTCCCCCCACCCCCTCACATACTCACTCATTGGACAGGAACTCAAACCAAGTTATGTTCTGCTGGGAATCCCTGGGGTCATCCCCTAAGTGAGCCCTTTGCTTCGCCCTGTGCAGGTCAAATAGAATAGCCCAACTCAGCACCTTTTAAGGAAAGCCTTAGATTCTACCAGTCCTGGGCAACATCGTCCTGGTCAGCATCTCTTTAGGTCTGCTGCATACATCTGTTCAAACACAGACTGGGGCTCACCTGTCCTCCCTTCTAGATATGCAGCAGGTGGGATGCCTACAGCTTTCCAGGCGTGTAAAGCAATTCGTCCAGGCCTGAGCTGCCTGACACTTCCTCTACTTCCCCACCTGGAGATACCCTGCCAGGGCCCTTCCTTACCCTCCTGTCTCTGCTTTTGAATCTCAGGACTTTACTGCCATGCCCCAGTGACTTTCACCCTGGAGCTTCCTTCAGTGCTTGGGACTTCCTCTGCCCCCGAAGCCCTCTCAGCCTGGATTATCCCTCTGTCACGCCAGTGCCCTTCTCCCACTGGTGAATTCCTCCCAGGAGCTGCCATCTGGGGAAGGAACTCAGGCTGGCCAACCTTCATTCCCCTCCTGGCTCTACTTCTAACTTTCTGGGCTCCCATACTGTGCCCCCATGGAGGTACCTTCTCCCTCTTGTCAGCTCCCATTTGTGCCTTTTCTCCCATTAGAATGTAAGTTCTTTGAGGGCAGGGGCTGTCTTTCCTATGATGTTGGGACTCTCCCCTAAAAAGATCCCACTTGTTCTTCAAGGCTCATCACCTCCTCCTGTTTCCTCCTTCCTAATGCCAGGGAGCCTAGATGAGCTCTAAATTCTCTAGCCTCACATTCCAGGACAGTCATATGAGACTTCTAGGCAGTCCCTGATCTCTTCCCGTCTTCTCCAGACCCCATGCATTTGTTTAGGCTGTGTGACATGCATGCTGTGGACTCCATCCTCATCTCTGCCTTCCCAAGCTCCTCTTCCTCCAAGGCCCAGCTCAGGTACCACAACCTCCAAGAAGACTTCCCTGATTCCTGCCAGCTAAAGAAGATCTTTTTTCTCTCCTCAAATGTTTTCAAGAGTCCTTTGTCTGGATCTTTCCTTGGTCCCCAGCATACTTTCACTTGGAGCCAGGCTTACTCTTGTATGGGACATAAACTTCATAGAAGGCATCTCTGTATCCCAAGAACCTAACATGGAGCCTGGGTATAGAGGGGGCACTTAAAAAATATTTACTGAGGGCAGCTAGGTGGCGCAGTAGATAGAGCTCTGGCCTTGGAGTCAGGAGAACCTGAGTTCAAATCCAGCCTCAGACACTTAACAATTACTAGCTGTGTGACCCTGGGCAAGTCACTTAACCCTGATTGCCTCACCAAAAAAAGCAAAAAACAAACAAAAAAAAATATTTACTGAAATAGAAATGGAAAGAACAACACAAAAAATTCAAAAATAAATGTTATAAAGCAATAATGAACTAACATGGAAGAATGTTTTACATGACTACACAAGCATAACCTATATCAAACTGCTTGTCTTCTCAATGGGGGTGGGGTGGGGAGGGAGAAAGGGAGAGAATTTGGAACTCAAAATTTTTGAAAAAACAATGTTAAACAATTGTTTTTACGTGTAATTGCGGAAAAATAAAATATTCAATTTTAAAAAAAAACCCATAATGAACAAGCATGATTGAAAAATAAAGATATGAAAAGACACTCCTACCCACCCTTTAGCGGGGGGTGGGGGGAAGTCCACAAAGGGTGTACATTGTACAACTTTTTGGACTTTCTTGATGCATTGATCAGTTATGTCAATTTTTTAACTCTTTCTTTTTCTCTTTAAAAGCACAATTTGTTATATGGGATGATTCTATGGAGAGGAGGAGAGGGAAATTATGGAGATAGAGAAAAACCTACGACATCAATGAAAAATTAATTTTTCAAGAAAGAAAAAATTGTTGAATAGAACCCAATTCCAGTTTTGATATTCTAGAGCCATAGAAAGCATACTGGAATCAGAGTCAAAGGATCTGGGTTCAGATTCCAGCTCTGCGGCTCCCTCGCTACATGTGTGGTCCTCGCCGTTGCCTTTCATCTCTATGGCCCTAACTTTCCTCAACTGTAAAATGAGGGGGTTGAGCCCGACGATGTCCAAGGTCCTTTCCAGTTCTAAATCCACATTTCCCGCAAGGCCTTTCCACATGACCAGGTGACTTCAGCCCGCAGAGAGCAATCTCCCCCTTCTCTGATATCCAGCAACATTGAGTCTACCCTACAGAGCTCAACCTCTGACCATACGTTACAAATGTTCTCTAATTGCTTTATACGGGATTACAGTGATTTAGGGCTGGAAGAGACTGATGAGGTCATTCCCATTTTGCAGATGGGAAAACTGAGGCCCAGAGAAGGCAAGTGACTTGCTCAGGGTCACCCATTGAGACAGGCTCAGAGTTGGGTTTAGAACCCAATGACGCTCATTTACAAATGTTGACTGAGGGCACATACTAGGTGCCAGGGGCTTACAGGGGATCTAGAGATGTAGGAGAGCCAGCCCCTACCCTCATGACCTTCACTGTCTAATTTGATGAGATGAGACACATTACAGAAGCCTGAATAACATTATGAGGCCCTGTGTGAGTAAGTTCCAAATAATTGGTAGCAATAGGTATTAGGAAGACAGTTGCTGAGGAAGGAATAATCCTGGGAGGGCTTCATGGAGGAGGTGAGACTGGAGAGCTGAGCTACACTGTGAAGGAAGCGCGGATCTGAAGAGGTAGAGAGGCGCAAGGAGGAGATCCCAAGTGGGCGGCCAGCATGAGCAAAAGCACAGAGCGTATGCCGTGGTGAGACCAGCTTGGTCCATGCCCCCGGAGCTCTAGGCTGGGCACAAGGTGGGCTCAGGGAAGATGTGCTGAGCTGATGTCAGGCCCCTTTGAGCTCTAACTAGATGATCCTATGTTGTGACTCAGAAATAGAAATCATAGGACATTAGAGCTGGAAGGTGCTTTGGAATCATCCAGCCCAATCCCCTCATTTTACAGATGGAGAAACTGAGGCCCAGAATAGGGGAGGGACCTGCCCAAGGACAGACAGACAGACAGACAGACACACATACATACACACACAGTAAACTAGTGGTTGAGCTGAGTAGCCGAGACTTGAGCCCAAGTCTCTTGGCTCCCAAATCTCAGCATCCTTTCCATTGCATTCTGCTAACCCTAGCTCAGGAAACAAACCAAAAGTCCTGAGCATGAACTAGGGTCAGGTCACCTCCAAATTCTAGGTCATCTTCTCCCTGGAGGAGCCTAGCAGGGCACTAGCCTGGGCCTTAAGAACACTCACCCGTGGTACTGCTTGAGCTCTTGAAGAACTTGCTGGACAATTAAGCTAGAGGGAGATACAGAGAGAATGACACACAGCATTTATTCCAAGTGATGCTCCATATGGCTAATGTGGAAGTATGTTTTACGTGACGTCACGTGTATAATTGATATCATATTGCTTATCTTTTTTTTTAAGGCAATTGGGGTTAAGTGACTTGCCCAGGGTCACACAGCTAGTAAGTGTCTGAGGCCAGACTTGAATTCAGGTCATGCTGACTACAATCCACCGGGTCACCCAACTGCCCCTGCTTGCCTTTTCAATGGGTGGGAGAGGGGCTAAAGGGAGGGAGAGAATTTGGAACTCAAAAAATTTTTAAATGAACCTTACATTTTTTTTTTACTTATTAAGTAAATAAGCCATAATTTTCTGAATCTATGTACTTGGGTCAATCTGAGTTTATGTGTGTTTGTGTGTATCAATCAATCAAGTATGTATTAAGCACCTATTACGTGCCAACTGTTGGACTTGGTGCTGGAGATACAAAGAAAACAAAAAGAAACACTGCCTGCCCTCAGAGAGCCTACATTTTATCAGAGGAATATGAACAAAAGAATGTGTGCAAAATAAAGAAAGGTGGTTGTTGTTGAGTCCTTTCAGTTGTGTCTGACTCTCCATGACCCCACTTTTGGGGGTTTTTTTTTCGGTAAAGATACTGGAGTGGTTTGCTATTTCCTTCTCCAGCTCAATTTACAGATGAGGCAAGCAGGGTTAAGTGACTTGCCCAGGGTCATATAGCTAGTAAGTGTCTGAGGCCGGATTTGAACTCATGAAGATGAGCCTTCCTGATTCAAAGCCCAGTGCTCCATCCACTTCTAAATAAAGACATTTGTAAATAAATACGAGGTGTGAAGCACTATCAGCTGGGACAGGGGATGGAGACATCAAGAAAGTCCTTGAGTTCAGCTTTGAAGGAAACTAGGGAGGGCATTCTAGGCATGGGGGACAGCTTGGGCAAAGACATGGAGATGGGAGCTGGAGGACCATGCACAAGGAATGTGTGTCTGGGTCCCTGTATGTGCCTATGTCTTTGTGTCTGTGCTCATGGTCTCTGCCCCTTGTGTCCTCAGAGCCTAAAGCCTCAGGGGCCAGGTTGGAAATTTCATTAGGATTACCCTGGTCTCTGACTGAGCCTCCCAGGTGCCTGTTTATTTAAAATTTTTGTATCAATGTTCATTAGAGAAGTTGGCCTGTAGTTTTCTTTCTCTGTTTTGGCTCTTCCTGGTTTAAGTATCAGCACTGTTTTTGACTGTTTAAAAAAAAAGGTTTCTTTCCCTGTAGAGTGACAGGGAGAAGGTGAGTGATTCATGGTACATGGTATATCAGAGTTGGAAGGGGTTAGAGGGATTATCAGTGCAGTGTTGGGAGATTAAGCAAACCAAGGATGTTTGTTGACTGACTAGCTGACTGATCAGAGAGAGGAAGGGTCTTGCCCATGACCAAAGACCATATCAGAAAATGGAAGATTAGGGGCAGCTAGGTGGTGCGGTGGATAGAGCACCGGCCCTGAAATCAGGAGGACCTGAGTTCAAATCCGGCCTCAGACCAAACACCTGACACTTACTAGCTGTGTGACCCTGGGCAAGTCACTTAACCCCAATTGCCTAAAAATGAAAAAAAAAATAATAAGAAAAGGGAAGATTAATTATGAAGGGCCAGTAAGTGGTTTCCTGCCTCTCCACCTCCTTTTCCCCACCCAAATTCATCTTGTCACTTGGGCAGGCAGAACACACAGCTCAGCCCTCGGGTGCCTGCCTCTCCCGTTCTTGCCTCTGGACTACTGTAAAATCAGGGGTACTTACACATGATCAGGGGACACGTGGTCTTTTTCTGCTCTTTCCAGCATAGGGGGTTCAACGCCTAGAATAGAACACCAAATAAACACAGAACACAGAGGAATCAGATTCAGGCTCCCAAGATCTGGACCTCACCAGAACCACCCACACCCCACCCTGTGTGGGGTCAATACTGAATGCTGCTGGCCCTGGTTGTAAGGTGAGGCATATGGCTGTTTGTGGCCTGACCCCCTGCTTAGCTCCTCTTATCATGAGACAGGGAAAAGTAAGTAAAGGTCCATGAGGCCCCAGACAAGAGAAAAGGTGAAACATGAGAGCAAATAGCAGAGAGAGAAATCAGGCAGAGAAACAGAGGCACGTGGGAATGCACAGGAAGGGAAGGTGCACAGGAGAGGCAGACACAGCCGGAGACAGACGGAACAACAGAGAGAAAAAGAAAGGGATCCAAAATGAGCTTTCCAGGGAGACAAAGAGCTATAGTGGGTGAGTGTGGGGGAGTTCCCCATCAGCCTGATGAGGGTGGGGAGCCTTTCTTCAGGACTTTTCCCAGTGACCTTCCTATGGAGCAGGGGCTCTTACCTTTTTTGTCACGGACCCCTTGGACAACCTGGTGAAGCCTATGCATCCCTTTGCAGAATCATGTTTTTAAATGCATAAAAGAAAATACTTAGAATTATAAGGGAAACCAATTACCTGGAACTAAAGATATAATTTTTTTTTTCCATTTGAATTCATGGGTCTCCCTGAAATCAAGCCATCCTCTGACCTGGGTTCAAGTCTCACCTCTGAGACCTTACCTCTGATGAAACCTGGGCAAGTCACTTAATTTCTCAGTGCCCCAGGTAGCTTTCTAAAACAACAAATTGCATTACTTGCATTAGGAGAGGGAGTTCCCTAAGCCCAGTGAAATCATAGGTCCAGGCCCCATCCTCTAGGGAGCATTTGGACAAGCCCCTCAGCTTCATAGAAGCTCATGGAAGATAGGTCTGTGGTCAAAGATGTGCTGGTTGGCTTTGTTCATTATGGGAGGAGCTGTCCCTTAGTTGCTCTTCTACAAAAAGGGAGTTTCCCCATGAGAGACTTGGGCTTTTTCTATATTCCTCGTTTTGGAGGGCTTATCAGTGCTGTGGAACTGACCTGGGTCCTAGGAGGAGCTGTTTCTCTCCAGGACCCATGAATGTCATCATGGAATCTGCCCTAAGAAGAGAGTTCTAGACTATGGCCACAGCTACGGAGAGGAGGATCCTGGAAATCCCTTAACTGCAGCTTCTTATATAATGGAGGCAGCAGATTTTCTGTCCAGTATGACCCTAGAACCTAGCCTTCTAGGGAGAAGATTATTTTTACTGGGTAGCGCCAGACTCGGGGTTGCCTCAATGGCCACCCAAGTTTTAAAGTTCTAGAGTCCGGTCCTCTAGAAAGAGAAGGGGTACTTTGTGGTCAACACCACCAACTCCAAGTTCTCTCTCAAATAATTTCAAGTTCTAGAGTTTGGGATCCAACTTTTTGGTGAAAGAAATGGGGTTCCTGAACTGTGCCAACCTCTTGGGGAGAGGATTGGGCACTTGACCCTTCCAAGAGAGTAGAGCAGCAGGGGAGCCATAGCATGGGAGAGAAAAAGATGTGTTAGCAAGGTGGGGGAGGTGGCTAGAACGCTAGTCCCACAGTCAGGAAGACCCAAGTTCAAATCCGGCCTCAAAACGCTTAAGAGCCGAAGTCATTTAACTGCTGCTGGCCTCAGTTTCCTCATCTGTAAAATGGGCATAATAACACCTGCCTCCTAGGGTTGTTGTAAGGATGAAAATGAGATAATATTTGTACAGAGCTTTGCACATCTCAAAATTCCATATAAATGCTAGCTATTATTATAATTTTGCCCTCTGTTACTATGAATTGTCTGGACAGTAAAAGGCCAGTGAGAAAGGGACTTGCTTCTCTAACAATTCCAAAGGTTAGTTGGTTTGGTTCTTTCCCTTATGGGAGAGTTCAAGTTCCCATAAGTCTAGATGCCTCTGTAGGCTGCTGGGGTTAAAGGGAGACTCCTTGAAATAATAATGAAAATAGTCAGCATCTATATAGCACTTTAAGGTTTGAAAAGCATTTTATAAATATTATCTCATCTGACCCTCACAAAGATGTAGGGAGACAGGTGCTGTTATTATCCCCATTTTAAAGATGAGAATACTAAAGCTGAAAGAAACTTGACTTGCTTAGGGTCACATCACTAGTAAGTACCTGAGGAGGGATTCCCCCTTAGGGCTTCCTGACTCTATCCCCTGGCCCTCCTAGCTGCTGAATGTCAGAGAATTTCCTCTCTGGGAACCCCAAGGGAATATGAGCTACAATACTTGAGTCTGGAGGATGGGACCTCAGGTAAAGGTGGGACTTATCAGAGAGGGAGAAGTGTTTATGAGCTGCTGTGATTTCTCTATGGATTTTCCTCATTTTTTTGTGGAGATTGAATTCAGGCTGTCTTATGCCTGATATAAGCATTGCTACTTTAAGTATTTGTGGGAGGCCCGAGACTCAAATCTGTGGACCCCCTAGAGGTGAGCTATTTTTAGGGTACATTCTAAGATTTTCCGAAGGGAAGTCTGGGTGAGGACAAAATGAAGCAAAGAGAATGAGAATTTGGAGCTGCCCTCAAGATCAAGTCTAGTCCCTGGAAAACTTAGGGTGTTGGGCTACAGGTTACACACGCAGAGAAAGAAAGAGAACCCCCCCCCAAAGAAACAATACAGAAAAGGAAACAGAGAGAGTCATCTGCACAGAGAAAGAAGCCAGGCAGAGCCACATAGGCATGGACACATACACAAAGACAAAGGGACAGACAGAATGAGAGATACACATGCAGAGAGAGAGAGACAGAGAAATAAAGGGAGACAGGGGGACAGATGTAGATAAAGAAAGCTAGAAAAGGGGGAAAAGGGAGACAGCAGAACTATAGACTTATGATTTAAAGGTGATTAAAGGTGCCCAGAGACAGCCACACATAGTACCCCTGGAGTACTGGGAGATGGGGAGGCAGTAGTGGAAGGAGAGGCAATCCCTCTGTGTGTCCCTCGTTCCTCTGTGAACAAGCATCTGGTCTCTGAATAGCCAGACCCTGAAGCTAATCAGGAGCAGCTGAATGGAATTTCTACCCAGCCACACATTTCTTCAAACCCAAGTACCTGGGATGCCCTTCCCTGAGGCAGACTGTCTTCCCTGAAAGGGCTGAGGAGTGTCCCACTGGGGCAGGGCTATCCCACTGGGGCAGGGCTGGCCAAATCCTCCTATATTTTCCTTAGGTAGATAATAAAAGAAAAATTTTTTGAAATAGTGAGCCAGGAGCTGGAGTTACCAACTCTGGACCAAACCTGGGGCCCTTATTTTCACTCTCTGTCAAAGAGGAAGTCCCTTGGGCTTCCGCTTTCTGGTCTTGGCTGTGTGAAAGGGACAGTTTACAGATTGGTGGGTAGAGCGAAGGAAGCCTGAGTCAAGGCCACATTGCAGAGAGTGTCCCCTGAGAGACACCCCTCTCCCCCTGTGCAAAACAAACCTTGGGCAGCTGGAATGGAAACCTCCAGGTTCTGAGCGATTCTTGAGGGAGAAACCATATCACCAGTTTGAGGAACAGACCTTGACCTCAGCCTCCTCCAAGAGCTGTCAAATTCCTGCGGGGGTTAGGTATTTCAGTGAGGAGAATCAGGGACCGAAAAAAGAATCTCAGGATGGAAAAAGCCTTGAGAGGGAGAAGCATCTTAGAGAGCACCCAGCCCAACTCTTCCTGCTACCGAGCAAGAAACTGTGACCCAGAGATGGGAAGGGGACACTTGCTCAGGGTCCCATAGCTGGGCCAGGGTACTTGGAGAAGCTGTCAGGTATCCTTGGGGCAAAGGCCCAGGCCCCAAAGGTGTAGCTGATTCAGCAGAGTCCAGTGCTCTCCAAGACCCCTTTTTAAACCACTCCTGGGCTATGGTCTAAATTTTAAAGATGGCGGCACCCACAAAATCTCAACAACATTCCAGGGGTGGAGCCCACCTGGAGAAACCTTGTGGGGAAGAGGACCCAGTCTGGTCCAGAGTCTGATGAAGGGGTAGGCCCAGAGAGGCTTTTTATACCAACCCCAACTCCAGCACCCTGACCAGCCTCCTAGCATTAAGGGTGTAAGATCTATGTGTTTAACAGAATTGTACTGAAAGAAAGTTCCCTCCTACAGTTCAGTTTTCATGTCTCTTCCAATTATGAAATTCCATGACCTTTGGAAGCTATTATAGTTATTAATAAACATTCGTTAAATACCTTCTAGGCATTGAGGTCAAGTGACTTGCCCAGGGTCACACAGCTAGTAAGTGTCAAGTGTCTGAGACCGGATTTGAACTCAGGTCCTCCTGACTCCAGGACCAGTGCTCTATCCACTGTGCCACCTAGCTGCCCCTAATCTTCCTTATTTCTAGAAAGAGTATCACCATCTTTCCGAATCACATAGGATCAAAACCTCAAGGAGAGAAGGGTGAGAGGTAGAGGAGAGGAAGTGGGTTATCTTTGACACCTCATCTCCTCTCATATTGTAGAACTGGTCAACTGATTCTTGTCATTTTTATCTCCACCTTTCTCCCCTCCATTCCTTTCTTTCCACTTTGTTGCCCAACATCTTAATTAAGGCCCTCATCACCTCTTACCTGGACTATTGCAAAAGTCTTCTATTTGGTGTCTTTGCCACAAATCTCTCCCTATGCCAATTCACCCTCCATACATATATCAAAATGCTTTCCTAAATAAACTCCAGTGGTTCCCTATTACCTCTAGGATCAAATATAAACTTCTCTGTTTGGGCATTTAAAGCCCTTCACAGACTGGCCCCTTTCTACCTTTCTAGCCTTATCATACATTACTCTCCTCTAGACATTCTATGTTTCTGCCAGATTGGCCATCTTACTGTTCCTCATACACAATGCCCTCCTCATCTCTGCCTCATGGAATCCCTGGTTTCCTTTAAGATTCAGCTCAAATATGACCACCTTCAAGAGAGGATTCTCAGTCCCTTCAGCTGCTAGTGTCCTTACTATCAGGTTACCTTAGATGAGTTTGTATGTAACTCTGTTGGGGCCATCTCTAGTCACCCTAATCTATATCTGGCCACTGGATCCAGAGGGCTCCAGAGGAGAGAGCAAGGCTGGTGACTTTGCATAGTCCTGCCTCACTTAAATCTGATTCACTTGCAAGTCACAGCATCACCTCCCTGATGTCATGGTCCTCTTCAAGAAGGAAGGGCAAATGGGGCAGCTAAGTGGCACAGTGGATAGAGCACCAGCCTTGAAGTCAGGAGGACCTGAGTTCAAATCTGGCCTCAGACCAAACACTTGACACTTACTAGCTGTGTGACCCTGGGCAAGTCACTTAATCCCAATTGCCTAAAAAGTAAAAAAAAAAAAAAAGAAGGGCAAACAGCAACAGCAATATAAGTCGATACATGCATATTGTCTCCTTCATTAGAATGTAAGTTACTTGAGGGCAGGTACTGTCCAGCTTTTGTCTTTGTTTCTGGCACATCTAAGGAGCATAATAAATGCTCCAGGTGGGGATTGCTTCAAATTCTGCCCAAGTCTAAGGCCCCCTCTTCAATCCTTGTCTTCCATGATGACTTTGCAACATTTGACACTGGTTTTTCTATCCTCCCAGGGAATATTTCCATGACACTACTCTTTTCCCATTTCTCCTACTCTAACCACTTTTGGTCCATTACCAAGGCTTGTCTTCCCCTTCCTACTGTCCAAGTGTGAAGGATCCCTAAGATCTTTCCTTGGCCCTCTTTTTTTTTTTTTAACCTCTGTGCATGGAATGTCTGAGCTGGAAGGGAGCACAGAACCTCCAAAGCAGCCCAATCCACTTTGGATTAGAACTGTTTGTAAACTCTTCCTCTTATCACATCTCAATTTACGTCTCTGCAGACTTCTGCTGCCAGTTCAGCCCTTCAAATACTTAAAGACAGCTCTCCTATCCACCCTAAACCTTTCTTTCCTCTTCTAGGCTAAACGGTTCCAGTTGAATCACTGGCTTGTTCTCCACTCTCACCCACCATCTTGGATGTTTTCCACTTTGCCAATGCCCTTTCTCCAATGCAGAATCCACTAATGGAAAACACATACCAGATGGAGTCTGAGCAGGGCAAAGGACAGTGGGACCATCATTGCCTTTTCTCTGGACTAGTCAGAGGTTGGACTCCAGCATCTCCAGTTTTTCAAATTGGACTTTGGGCAAATGCTAGAAGGATCATGGGCATGGAATATGGCTCCTAAGTCTGTCAATTCAATTGAATATATTTCTACTAATGCTTGCTGTGTGTCTGGCCTCCTGTGGGGTGACATGTGGGGACAAATAAAGTTTCAAACTTTAGGATTTAGAACTGGAGGAGACCTTGGGAATCATCTAACTTCAACCTTCTCATCTTACATCCAAGAAAAATGACACAAGCTCAGAAAGATCAAAGGACTTGTTGAAAATCACTCAGATAGGAATAATAATAATAACAATAATAAGTTAATAATAATAACTAGTATTTATATAGGTGTGAAGGTTTGTAAAGCATTTTGTATGATAGTATCTATATAATACATTATTATAGTATATATTAATAATTACATTCAATTATTAGCCATTTATATTATATATTAAATGTCATGTTATTTGATCATCCTGATGACCCTGGGAGATAGGTGTTACTATTATACCCATTTTATAGATGAGAAAAATTAGGCTGAGGAAGGTTTAGTGACTTGCCAAGGTTTAGTGACAGCTAGTAAGGGTATGAGACCAGATTTGAACTCCTGACTCCAGGCTCAGCTCTCTATCCACTACATTATTTTTTGTTATTAAATATAACCAATGTTGTTAGAATTGAATGATGATCCATAGCCCATATAAATATAAAATATTAATACATAAATATAATTAACACATTAAATGTAATTAATTAATTATTAATTACTATATTTGAGACATTGTGTTGGTAATATAAAGAAAAAACATTAACAGTCCCTGCCCTCAAGAAACTTCCATTCCACTGGAGTGATGAGATGGTAAGCACATGGATGAATAAATACATGATAATTTGAGGCAAGAGAGTCCTAACCAGTAGGGAGATAGGGCTGGGCTTCCTAGAGGAGGGGCAGTACTTGAGCGGGGCTGAGAAGGCAGCTAGTGATTCCACAAGGCAGAGGTGAGGAGGAACGACTTCCTGGCATTTTAGATATATGGAGATGGAATGCCAAGTTAAGGGAATAGGGAGCAGGCCAGCTTGGCTAGAATCTAGAGTTGTGAAAAACGAAATAATAGGTAGGGTAACTACATGGTACAGTGGATAGAGCACTGGCTCTGGAGTCAGAAGGGCCTGAATTCAAATCTGGCCTCAGACACTTGACAGATGTGTGACCCTGGGCAAGTCACTTAATCCTGATTGCCTAGCAAAAAGGGGGAAAAAAAGAAGTAATAGGGAATTAGCCTGGTTTTACTATATTATGGAAATGTTTGTTTTATTTCTTAACTTCAGAATAAAAAAAAAAGCCTAGAAAGAAAAGTGGGAAATATACTGTGGAGGGCTCTGAATACCACGCTGAAGGTTTTCTTATTTTATCCTTGAGACAGTAGAGAGCTACTAAAGGTTTTTGAGAAGGACTGGGCTAAGGAGGACCTGAGTTCAAATCCGGCCTCAGACACATAGCACTTACTAGCTGTGTGACCCTGGGCAAGTCACTTAACCCCAATTGCCTCACCAAAAGCAAAAAAAAGAAAAAAGAAGAAGGACTGGGCTAGACCACGGTACCACTGGCCACAAGGTCTAGCCTCAGAAATAAGCAGCACATCCTGACTTTGCAGCTTGCCTCTGGCCCAGAACCAGGAAAGGCAGTCCGGAGTATGTTGCTTGCCTGTTGTATCATATGCCGACTTACCTGCTGTCTCATTGGCTCTTCCATGGCTATGTAGGGCAGCTCAGGTGAGGCCCTGCCCCGGAAGGTTGCTCGGTGACCTGTCCTCTCTGCCCAGGCCTGCAGGCCCCCTCCAGGCAGATTCAAGGAATGGCTGGCAAATGTTCTGGGCAAACTTCGCTCCTCGTCACTGCCCAAGTCCGAGGCGTCCAGGCTGAGTCTGGTGGGGAGAAGGCAGTGAGTTGTGGTGGGTCATGGAACACCCTCCCTACTCTGCATCTGCGCAGCCATCAACCTCAGAGCTATAACTAGGGATTTTGGTATCTGGGGCAAACACCACAAACCATACCCAGGGCAAGTAGAATGTAGTTTACACTTTGTCAAGGATGGAGGAGTTGGGGGAAGAAGGGAAGAGATTGCCGATGGACTCACTACCCTTGAGGAAATGACCAGTTTACCCCAGAGAGAAACATGCTGGCATCTTTATCCCTGTACTGGCCCCACATGGGAATATTTGACCAAGTTTAGGGTCAGGGACGTGGCCAGGGCCCAGCCAGGTCACGGATTGGGGTGGAGGTTTCCATTGCCTATTTGGAGAGACTGCACAATTAAGGAGAGTGAGGAGGAAGTGGTAAGAGAGAAAACATGTCCGGTGGAGACAAAGGTCTGGGCTTCCCTCTATGCTACTCTGTGGGTGGTCTGCTCCAAGGCAAGTTAGGCCTTAGCCCATTATGAGACATTGAGATGGAGAGGAAGAAAATTGAGGAGATGAAGGGAAGGGAGAGAAGGGGGGTAAGGGAAGGGGAAGGAAGGGAGGAAAGAAAAGGGGAGGAGAGAAGGGAAAGTAGTAGATGAGAGGAGGAGAGAAAAATAAAGGAAAAAAGTAAGAGAAGGTACCGTGCTGTGGTTCTCTCGAAGAGGACCATGACATCAGGGAAGTGATGCCATGATTTTCATGAATTGGATTTCAGTGAGGCAGGACTGTGCAAACTCACCAGCCTCACTTTCTCTTCCTGAGCCGTCTGGGTCCAGTGGCAAGAATAGACCAGGAAGACTGTAGATGGCCCAGGATGCAGTGGGAGACTGAGGCCTTTCTAAGCTAAGGTCTTCTGAGGCAAGACTCATTCAGTGACTAGGGCTTTTTAGAAGTGAGGCAAGGGACGGCCCCTTTAATAAAAAAAAAAATCAAACTGGGAGGGGAAGACCCTCAGGGTTTCTGGCCCAAAGAAATGTTTTTTTTACTTCTTACATTTTTACATTCACTCTGAGTCAAGGGGCCCAAACAGTAATCATTAAGTGGTGCTTGGGTAGGAACCCATTGTTGGCCAATCAAGTAGATTGGGTTTAAGGCATGGGCTTTAAGAAAGAATTTTAGCCAGTAAACCCCAAGATATCTAGGTAGGTTTCAACCTTCAAAATTTACCTCCTTTGGTAGCGCACCTTCAGGTAAGCAGGGAAAGGGAGGACAGAAAAAAAAGGGAGACAGAAAGGAGAGGAGAGGAGCTGCCCTACTGGGAGTGGTCAGTTCGAATCTCAGTGGGCAGCTCCGAGTACTCACGGGTCAGTTTGTCCTTCATTCTGGAAGAGAACCACGACATCAGGAAGATGATGACATGACTTGCATTGAATTGGATTACAGTGAAGGAGGGCTGTGCAAAATCACCAGCCTCACTTTCTCCTCCAGAGCCATCTGGGTCCAGTGGCCAGATACGAATCAGGGTGAATGGAGATGGCCTCTGCCCTCTTTCCCCGCCCCCTCCAATTATTAAAGGTGCCATCCCTTGGCTCACTTTTTTTTTTTTACATTTAGACACACATACTTTTATTGCACAATATGGCCTTAGTATAATATTGGAGTTGAGACAGAAATAACAACTGCTTCACAGGTTAAGTCATAGTGAGCAAAGCACTGGCACTATGTAACTATATATACTAGGGACCTGACAGACCAATGGTCTAATGGAGGCTATTAAAACTTGGCTCACTTTTTAAGCAGCCCTAATCACTGAATGGGTGTTGCCGCAATCAAAGTGAGAACTCAGAAAGACCTTAGCTTGAAAAGACCAAGGTCTCCTATTGCATCCTGGGCCATCTCCAGTTGTCCTGATCCATATCTGGCCACTGAACCCAGATGGCTCCAGAGGAGAAACTGAGGCTGGTGACTCTGCTCAGCCCTCCCTCACTTAAATCCAATTCACTTGCAAGTCACGGCATCATCTTCCTGATGTCATGGTCCTCTTCTAGAACGATGGACAAACCACAACCTATGAAGAGAGGGAACAGGAGAGACAGGAGAGAGGAAACAGAGAAGAAATGAATGAGTCAGATTATCTGGTCAAGGTGTTCTCAGTCCCTTCCCCTCCCTGGTGGCAGTGGCCAGACTCCTGATGAAGGACCCCTCTCACCCCCACTTCACTCTGGCGAAGCCTGACCTCCTTCCGACATCTAAGGGAGACAGAGGCCTCTCCCAGCTGTGTCTCCGAGATGTGGTCATTGAATGGGCCAGCATGGGAAAGGGCTCGACTCCTTGGTCCTCAGGACAGAGGCCATTTGGGCTCTGACGGAAGCAACCAGGTTCCTGGAGCTGTGGGGCTACAAGTTCCCCTGGCGGCTTCTCCTGTGAGCAGGAGGCCAGAGGGACCCATGATGTCATCTCCACAGGTGCTATGTAGCCCAGGTCTCTGTAGTATTCTGTGCCTTGGAGAGCCATGTCTATTGAGAGAAGGTCCTCAGTGCTGCTGTGGGCTTCTTCCAGCTCTGCCACAGAACCACCCTCCTGCCGGAGAAAGAGAAGAGAACTGTCACAAATCTGGCTGAGGTGTCAGCACCACCCCTGTCCCCCCCAACCCCTGCAGCAGCCCTCCCAACCATTCATTCCCTTGGTCTGGGAGCAGCAATGGATTCTAAGGTTTGAAGAGGGAGACACCATGGCACTGGTGAACATGGGACTTGGAGTTTGGAAGAGTTCAAATCCCACCTTAGTCACCTTCTACCTATTTGAGTCTGAACAAGCCACCGTGGGCAGCTAGGTAGTGGTATGGTGGATAGAGTGCCTGGTCTGGAGTCAGGAAGACCTGAGTTCAAATCCAGCCTCAGATACTTACCAGTTGTGTGACCCTGGGCAAGTTTCGTAGCCTTTGTCTACTCATTTTCCTCCTCTATAAAATGGGGATAATAATAGCACCTACCTCCAAGATTTGTGAGGATAAAATTTATGTATAGCTCTGTGCACATCTTAAAATTCTTTTTAAAAAATATTTATTTTTTATTTTTAATTTATGGAAATAAAACAAGCAATTCCATAACATAGGATAAGAAAAAAGATGATTGCATATGAAACTGCAAGTTCTATATAAATGCTAGCTATAATAATAAATTATTGTTATCACAAATAATAATTGTTATTATAAATGGCTCTCATAGGTTCCTGGGATCATAGATTTAGAATTGGAAGGAACCTTTGAGGTCGCCAGTCCAATCCTCTCATTTTATAGAAGAGGAAACTGAGGCAAACAGAGTTAAGTGACTTGCCCAAGGTCACACAACTAGTAAGTATCTGAGGTCACATTTGAACTCAACTCTTCTTGACTCGAGGCCCGGCGTTCTACCCATTGCACCACCTAGTTGCTCTCTATGAATATTACATAGTATATATACATAATATATACAGGCTTAAATTAAGATACATGTACAACACTGTGCAGACTTGAGTGACAGACAAATGTGAGTTATTAATACAGAGTAGGAGCATGCACATGTGACTATGCATGTGTGCATCTATCTATGTAACCATGAATATGCAGGCATGCAAGTATATTTGCACACATGTGAATGTGTTGTAAGTTGCACGTGTATATGGTCCCGTGTGCACACATGCCTGTGTTTGCATGTGCTGTGACTGTTGAATGTGTGGGTTTGTGAGGTCTGTGTGTCTGTTTGCGTCCCTGCAAAGCTGTTGTTTTTGCTGCCAGAGGAGGAAGCACGTTTCTGGTTTCCCAGATCCCCTGGACTCCTCTGGTTTTCATTTTCTTGGAAACATAAACATGTCAGGACATTGTGAACTCATCTGCTGCAGGCCAGCAGAGCTTTGGCAGCAAAAAGACCCAGGTTCCCTCCCACCCTGCAGTCTGGGCTACATCAGCCACAGAGCCTAGCCTAGAGCCTAGAGCCTAGAGCCTAGAGCCTAGAGCCTGGAGCCCAGATCTCAGCCCAGGCCAGAGTCCGGAGCTCAGAGCCAGAATCCAGTGCTCTGTGCTCAGCCTAGCACCCGGAGCTCAAGTCCTCTGGCCTCACTCAACCTCTAATTTTCCCGAATGAAGCGATCTTGGCATAGAATACAGCCCAAAGTTCTATACTGCAACTACGGAAGACCTCAGCTCTCCTACTGACCTGCTTGAAAATCTGCTTAAGCCCTTGAGGGTAGATGCTGTCTCCCATTTATGCCCTTGCTTGGAATGCTCTCACCTATGCCTCCTGGCTACCTTCAAGTCTCAGCTAAAACCTCCCTCTGCAAGAAGCCTTTCCCTTATCCCCCTTAATGGGAGTGCCTTCCCTCTGTTGATTACCTCTGATTTATCTTACACGTGTTGTCTTTCCATTAGACTGGGAGCTCCTTGAAGGCAGGGGCTATCTTTGTCTTTCTTTGTATCCCCAGTGCTTAGCACAGTGCCTGGCACATGGTAGGTGCTTAATAAATGTTTGTGACTTATAAGGAACTTAATAAATCCTTTGATGTTCGATTGAGTAACAGTCTAAATCAACATTTGTTGATGGATTGCTCTGTGAGTAGGTACATCCAGGTCTCTTTCTGGGCCTCTGTTTCGGTCATTTGCAAAATGGTGAGTTGGATTCAATGGTCTCTAAGGTCCTCCCCAACCTGGGAGGCTCAATTGTCCAGTATAATGCAAGCTCCTTGAAGGTAAGAACTAGTGTCTTTGTATACCCAGCAACCAGCAAGATGCTTGGCACATGGTAAGTGTTTGGTAAATTCTTGTTGAATTAAATTGAATTGATTTACTAGTTCTGTCCTGCCTGAAGGCCTGGCCCCAAAGACCCACATTGGTCCTAGGTCCTGCCTCCTCCCTCTGCCTCTGGCCATTGACACGGATTATCCCCAAGGCTTAGAATATGCTTCTTCCTGACCAGCTCAGGCACCAGCTCAGGCACCACCTCCTCCTGGAAGGGCCTAGGTTCAGAGGAGGCCAAATGCTGGTCAGCACCAGAGGCTTATGGGTTAGCCATGTTGGAGAGCCCAGTGTGACCAGAGCAGTCCCAAGAGCAAACCCTTTCCCTCACCCTCAGCCACCTTTCTCTGACTCTCCCAGTCCCTAGAAAGCCTTCACCTTACCTATTAGCTTCCAGCCCCTCTAGTTCCTTTCCAGCCCTGCCTCCCCCTGGCTCCCCCAGCTCCTCTCTAGCCTTTCGGAGCCTCTGCCTAATCCTGGATATCTCCAGATTCACAGCTCTTCTAGATTCCTCTAAAGCCTTTTTTCTTATTATCTCCTCAGACCCCAAAGCCGGAACAAAGCAAACCTCCCCTCTCCCCCTCCTCCCACCCCCAACCGCCCCCCCTGCCCCGTACTTGCCTGTTCCTCAGCCATGGAAGAGAAGAGAACATGGCGGTCAGCTTTTAGGGACACTGGGAGGGAATGGGGGCTGCTATCCAAGGGTAGGTCACAGGCCTTGCCCTCAGAGCCTGTGGATAGAGAAAGAGAGGAGCAGGAGCTATCAGTAGAGGAAGGAACCCAGAGGCTTCCTGGAGTGGGGAATTCTGGTCTGAGGACCCTTTTCAGATCTAAATCAATCATCCTCCTGCCTCCTCCCTCTGCCTCTGGCTATTGACACAGATTATCCCCAAGGCTTAGAATATGCTTCTTCCTGACCAGCTCAGGCACCACCTCCTCCTGGAAGCCCTCCTTCTTTGCTGGCCTACAACCTCTCCTGATTATTTCCCACCGCCTCCATTCTTTTTTGCAGAGTTATTTGTGAATATGGATTCCCTCCCCATTCCCATTCAATTATCAGCTCAGAACCATAGAATCACAGGGTTGGATGGGTCCTCAGAAGGCATCTAATCCTGTCCATGATGGAGCAGAGATCTTCTCTACAACAACCCTGACAAAAAGTCATCCAATTTCTGCTCAGAACCTTCAGTGATGGGGAACTCACTACCTCCAGACAGGACCCATACTTTCTCTCTCTCTGTCTCTCTCCCTTTTTTTAAGGCAATTGGGGTTAGGTGACTTGCCCAGGGTCACACAGCTAGTAAATGTCAAGTGCTTGGTCTGAGGACGGATTTAGAACTCAGGTCCTCCTGACTCCAAGGCCAGAGCTCTATCCACTGCCCCACCTAGCTGCCTCTACTTTTTCTCTTTAATTTAGATGAAATCTGCTTCTCTGCAGCCCCTTCTCCTCAGATACTTACTAACTGTGTGACCTTGGGCAAGTCACTTATCCCTGTTTGCCTCAGTTTCCTCATCTGTAAAATGAGCTGGAGAAGGAAATGGCAAACCACTCCAGCATCTTTGCCAAGAAAACCCCCAAGTGGGGTCCAGGAGAGTCAGGAATGACTGAAATGACTGAATAACAACAACATTTTGGGCATACTTTGAACTTCAAATGCCTGTGGGACATGTAGGTGGAGACATCTAATAGGCAATTGGACATGAAAGACCAGAGCTCAGAGTAAATATGTGTGAAGGCTGGATCTGTAGATTTGGGAGGTATCTGCCTAGAGATGAGACCTGTAGCCATGGGAGATGCATCACTGATAGGGAGTATGGTAAGAGAGATGAGTAAAGGGCTTAGAACCTTGTGTATGCCCACGGTTAGTGAGTAGAGACGTAAGTGCTGTTATTTCAAAAGAAATTGAGAGGAGTAGCCAGACAGATAGGTAAGAAAAGAAGCAGCAGGATGCTCTCTGCATCCAGGAGGAAGGGAGAGTCAGTGGTGTTAAACCCCACCAAGAGGTTGACCATTGGCTTTAATAGTAAAGAGATATTTTTTTGGCAATGTTAAAAAGAAAAAAAATTTTTATAGACTTTAGAACTCTGATCAAAATAATGATAACCATGAGACAAAGAATGCTGCCCACCTCCTGCCAGAGAAGTGATGGACTGAAAATGTGAAATGAGACATACATTTTTGGTCATGGCCAATGTCTGTTTGGCTGGGCTATGCATATTAGTTATGAGGGTTTTGTTTTTCTTCATTTTATTGTTCAACGGGGAGAGGGCTGGGAGAGATAATACATGTTTGTAAAAAAAGTAAAAAATAAGTTTTAAAAGAGATCATTGGTTACTTTAAAGAAACAACAAACATGTCAACACTTATTAAGTACTTACTATGTGCCAGGCTCTGTGCTAAGCACTGGGAATGCAAATATAAGCAAAAAGAAAAACAGTCCCTGCCCTTGAGCAGCTTACATTCTAATGGGGAGAGACAACACATAAAAAGGAACTGAAAAGGGGAGGGATGGAGGAGACACCCAAGTAGGAGCTAGGTAGAGAAGTCCAGAGATCCAGGAGAGGAATGAAGGAATGAGTGTGGCTGGCCTGGGAACTTCTTCAAAATGGAGGATCTGGGAGGAGGGGACAGCAGGGGTGGAGGGATGTTTCAGGGTGAGAAGGCTTCTGGGATGTTGTGAAGTCTACAGTCAATAAGTGGGAAGTGAGAAAGTGGAAATAAGAATTTTTCTAGGAATTAGCTTGTGAAAAGGAGAGCTATAAGAAGATAGCTTGAGGTGGCAGGGTCAAGTGATGAATTTTTTTTTTTTGCTTTTTTTTGGTGATGCAATCAGGGTTAAGTGACTTGCCCAGGGTCACACAGTTAGTAAGTGTCAAGTGTCTGGGGCTGGATTTGAACTCAGGTCCTCCTAACTGCAAGGCTGGAGCTGTATCCACTGCGCCACCTAGCTGCCCCAACTAATAATTTTTTTCAAGCATGTTTTTAGGATACAGGAAAACAGTCAGCGGATAGGGAGAGGCTGAATATTAGAGAGAGGGAATCATTGAAGAGGCAAGCTGCTAGAGGAGACAGAGGGATGAGATCAAGGGAATCAGCCTTGGTAAGGAAAAGTATCAGTATAAAGACAGCCACAAAAGGGGAGAGAATGGGGCAAGTTGATGTTGATGGGATTTCAGGTGTAGAATTGAGGAGAAAAGGGTGCTGGTAAGTAGTGGGTTTACTCAAAGTATCAGGTGAGGTCCTCTTCTGTACATTTTTTTTTCCTAAATTTTTAGGCAATTGGGGTTAAGTGACTTTCCCAGGGTCACACAGCTAGTAAATGTCAAGTGTTTGGCCTGAGGCCGGATTTGAACTCAGGTCCTCCTGACTTCAGGGCCAGTGGAGGTCTGAAATACCTGCTTAAGGGAGTGTGTTAGATAATCAATCAGGAAGGAATAAAAGGATAATGAGGACCCAGTCGAGATTAGATCACAAACTTATTGTGGTCCCAATCAGAAATAGACTTAAAGAAAACTGCAGATGGGAGTGATCCCAGGCTCCCAATAAAAGTGTTTTTGGCCTGGGGCATTCTTCTACTAGCTTTCCCTGATGCAGGGCTCTCCCACACCTTAAATCCACAGCATCCTGTGGTCATGGAGATCAAGGAGGGGAGATGATCCAGGTTAAACCCATGGTCTTAAACCTCTGGGTTGGGTAGTAGGAGCAGTCTGTCAGTGTTCTGGCTCTAGTAAAGATATTCTGAGGCAGAAGGAGAGGGGGACAAAGAAAAAGACAAAGGGGGATGGGAGGGAGGGAGAAGAGACAGATGAAAGGAAAATGAGAGAAGGCAGATAAAGGAGGGATGAGCTTTGGGGAAGAAGAGGAAAAATAGAAAGACAGAAACTTCTGGCAGGGAAGAGAGCTTGAGACTGGACTTTGCAGTTAGTTAAGGAAAGGAAGGAGCCAGGATGTCCCCAGGGCAGGACCATGGAGAGAGGCCACTGTCCCTGGCCAGCCCAGCCCAGAAAGTCCCACAGAGGGATACAGAACTCATCCCTTGGGACTTCACTGGCAGCCCTAACCTAACCCCCATATATGGTGCTCCAGAACCCTGAGCCCAGCCAGCTCTGGAGGGCTGAGCAAAGCCTCCATCAGGGGCTGTTGGCTTCCTTCTTCGGCCAGTGCCCTCCCAGCTAACAGCACTATCACAATGCTTGCAATGTAAAGCAGCTCCAAAGAGTTTACAATTTGCTATACAGACGTTTCCTCATTTAATCCTCCCCAAACCCTTAAGTAGGAAGTAGGCAGGGCCAGGATTATTATCTCCAGGGAGAGGATGTGTTTAGGACTTGGAGCAGTGACAGAGCCAGTACTTGAACCTGGGTCTCCTGCCTCCCAGCTCAGGGTGCTTGCCACCCTCATAGTTACTTCCGAAGTCTAGCGTGGGGGTCTTAGGCAGAGTGGGTATAACATCTATTAGAACCCGTTCTCTAAGCTGGGCCCTGAGGGCCGTTGCCAGAACCTTGGTGGGAAACTGATCTTTCTTAGCTGTTCCCTGAACTCAAATGGAGGGGGAGGGGCACTTCACATTAGCCTCAGTGGGAGCTTTAAAGACAAGAACCCTGAGGAGTGGATTGCTGCAAGGTTGGTCCTGGGTTGGGTGAGTGGGGACACGGTGTGGGAGGGAGGGAGAAGGGAGGCTGGAGAGAAAAAGAAATCACTGTTGGATGCCCAGTTAACTTTGGTCCCTGCCTCACTGGCCCCAAAACAGACTCTGAGTTTTCCCCATTCCCCACTTTGCTCCCTCAGCTTCACAGAGATATCCTTCCTATTCTCCTCTGCCTTCTTCATGAAGTCATGTCCCCCCACCCCACCATCCTTTCCCAAAGTCCAGGGAGCCCCGCCACCCCACAGAAGCTGCCTTCACCCTAACCTCCCTGAGCACACTTGCAGCTGGAAACCATAAATGGGTATTGTTAGCACAACTGTTCCCCAGCCTGGAAGGGGGAGGTTCTTTTAAATCCACAATCTAGGATAGGCCTGGGGGGTGGGGCGTGATGGGCTACAAGGAGGGTGGGCCATAGAGACCTGGGGGGAGACCATCACCCTCATCTGTTTCCCATGGGGGGGGGGGGACTCCTTTCAGCAGACACCAGAACTCCATCACTGATTAGGGCTCAGCTCATCAGCCTTACCTGCCAGAGAAGGGCTAGTTGAGCAAACCCAGGGAGGCTAGAAATGTGCTTATAGTGGGAAGGAAAGGACCAGAAGGAAAAAGTGGAGTCCTTTAGAAAGCAGCCTTTGAATGCTGCAAAGCATTACCTATTCATTCTGCTAGCTCAATCCAGGTTAGTTCAAAGGTTAGAACACAGTATTATTGAGAAAAAGGTTCCAGGTTATATATTCATAGTATCGGGAAGCTTCCCTCTTTTTCCCTGGTCCTAGGCTGAGCCCCAACCCCAAACTGGGATGAAGGGGATGGATATTTGAAATTGGTGCTCTCCAGGGGATCATCAAGGCTTCCCAATTCCTCTTCAACATCAGACACAGAATAAAGGGACTGTAGATCAAGGGGAGAGCTACTAGGTGTATCTCTGTTATTATAGTTGATTCCTATTCCTGGTCTATGCCCATCCTCAGCCCCAATTCCATCCCCCTCTCTGATCACCTCTGTCCCAAACCAATCCTCATCACCATGTCTCCAGTGCAGTCCCCATTTCTATTCTTAACCCTGCCTCGACCTCCCAACTC